ATAAAGAAGTGGAAGAAATCTTTGCTTATTGCTGCTCTAGTGAAGGGGTTAGCAATAATGAAGTAGGATAACAAGGAAGAAATCAAAGGTCTACAGGTAACTATGAACAATTGTGGACTCAGCAAGAACCTAAAAATCTGGGGGATAAATTTGTCCCTAGTAGGAATAAGAAGGGGGGAAATAGTCTGTCCCGTCAAACACCCATGATGTCTGTGTACTAGTGCAAGAATTAGAAGTCTTAATAAACAACCAAATTTCTGATTACATCAGGAAAACAGAGAGTGGTGATCCAGAACAGAAAGGGATAGAGCTTAAATTTCAGATTAGCCAGCCCTGTTAACAATAAGGCTGAAGAAACCCCAGGATCATTAGTGATTGCTTTGGAGCACGAGGATAAAACAGATGGGCCCTGCCCTGCCCTGCCCTGCTCGTCCCATCCTGTCCCGTCCCATCCTTTCCACGTAGTTGCTTTATGTAGGGCCTGGACCGAGACACTGCATTTGCAGATAGGCAGATTCTTCTCCCAGGGAGAAAGTGATGGTGTCAGGGAACTAGGAGCCGCTTTACATACACGGTCTGCAGTAAGGCTGTCCCTTACTTGGCACCTAGCTGTGGAGAAGGAAACTTCAAAGAGACAAAAGACTGTTAGTGCCATCAAACACATGCAGTTGTTCATCAAAATTCCAAAGAAATTTCTTTTCCTACCTTTCTGCTAAGAAGAGCACAAACATAAATAATATCTATCTATTAAAAAAAAAAAAAAAAAAAAAAGGATGTTTACTTTGTTTGGGAATTTTGTTTGTTTGCTTGTTTGTTCTTACAGCCAAATGTGAAGCTTTTCCTTGAAACCACTGTGGACTTTTTAGAAACTTCACCTTACATTTAGTTGAAACTGTTTTGTCCTCAAGTAAACATGGACTTATTGGATAGTGCTTAACATCTGAAAAGAAAACAATACAAAAAGCCCACGGTTTTGGGGCACTCCATGTTTTTTATGGTGTTTGTACATATAGGGTTTTGTATTAGCATTCATTTCTATTTGGGATCATTTAATCTCTAGTCAGAGATATGGGGATGTAAACCTACATGGGCTTGGAGTATCAAAACCCCAAGAACATGATGGAAGCTGTTGTCCTTTTGTCCTTTCCACCTTCCCCCTTGAAAACTGGGGGTGGTGGTTGGTGGGCAGCTGATGCAGGCACTGAAACATGGGTACAACAGTTATGGGCTGGTGCAGATCAGATATGGTGGCCAGGATAAACAAAAGATGCTGTGAACTCCACAGTTTGTGAACAGGAGGGATAATTGAGGGAAAGGTCAGAGGGTTTCCAGCCATCCAACCAGTACAGTTCAGCGCCACATTTGTCACTCATGTCTATTTTTGCTGTTTGTACAATAGTCCCAAATGTTACTGAATTTGCTTTTCTTTTCTATAAATCTGAATTTGCCTTTTTTTTTAATAAATATCTCCCCACTCTTGCATAAAAACACATTTAAAGATTTCTGATATACCTTAGACAAAGCAGTCATTTTTTCCATGACCCCTCCTTTCCAAAATAAGCGTGGATAATCTTCCCAGTGCAAGCATGTCTAATCTTTCCAGTCTGTCTTCATGGAAGTGTATTATCATAACCGAAATTATTCCTGGAAAAGATATGGTGGGATGGTTTGCTGGCAGAAAATGCAACTAACACAAAAGTAGGAAAACTTTGCTATCACTCTAAATGATTTTCTATTAAGAAAAATTCAGCTCAGATATAGAATATCCTGAGTTGGAAGGGACCCTTAAGGATCATCAAGTCCAACTCTTGACACCGCACAGGTCTACCCAAAAGTTCAGACCATGTGACTAAGCGCACAGTCCAATCTCTTCTTAAATTCAGTCAGGCTCGGTGCAGTGACCAAGCTGCATATGTTCCTAACTGGATAAATGCTAAACTGCATTAACCTGTGGGGTGCAGGTGGTGCATGGGGATTGGAAATCATGTCTTTCCTTTCAAAAGGGCAGGCTGCTGTCTTAGTTTACATTTTCTGACTTTTACTTTGAATTCCCCAGGTAAACCAGAGTAAATCTCATTGAATTTCCTGAAGTAAAATGAAGAGGAGAGGAGAGAGTACGTTGTGCAGTTCCTCTCCACATTTTTCCACCATGTTTTACAAAGAGGATGGGATCACATCTCACTCAGTCCTGGTCTGACCCAGGAAAATGTAATGTGTTGTCCACTGACAGGCTGCCTACTTGGACAAGAAGATTTATTAGCTCTGACTAACTCTATCTGCTATGGGGCATTTGAAAGATTTTCAATTTGCAGTGAGTAAGTTTGGAATTATAGCTGGGAAGTTTCTCCGTGTTCTGACTTTAAACTGGGCATGTTGAAAAAAAATCACCAAAAAGCAACAGACAAATAGACACTATTCGTGTGTCATATAACCCCTATAAAATTGCTGTGACATTAATGGAACTGCCTACTGGAGAAAGGTGATGTAAAACTGGCCAATCTCAAACCAGTATCAGGGTTTTTTTTAAGGTAAGTTTTTTCCGTTTACAACCCAACAGAATCACAGAATCACAGAATTTCTAGGTTGGAAGAGACCTCAAGATCATCTAGTCCAACCTCTGACCTAACACTAACAGTCCCCACTAAACCATATCCCTAAGCTCTACATCTAAATGTCTTTTAAAGACTTCCAGGGATGGTGACTCCACCACTTCCCTGGGCAGCCTGTTCCAATGTCTAACAACCCTTTCGGTAAAGAAGTTCTTCCTAACATCCAACCTAAAACTCCCCTGGCGCAACTTAAGCCCATTCCCCCTCGTCCTGTCACCAGGCACGTGGGACAACAGACCAACCCCCACCTCACTACAGCCTCCTTTAAGGTATCTGTAAAGAGCGATAAGGTCGCCCCTGAGCCTCCTCTTCTCCAGGCTGAACAAGCCCAGCTCCCTCAGCCGCTCCTCATAAGACTTGTTCTCCAGACCCCTCACCAGCTTCGTCACCCTTCTTTGGACCCGCTCAAGCACCTCGATGTCCTTCTTGTAGCAAGGGGCCCAAAACTGAACACAGTACTCGAGGTGCGGCCTCACCAGAGCCGAGTACAGGGGGACGATCACCTCCCTAGCCCTGCTGGCCACACTGCTTCTTATGCAAGCTAGGATGGTGTTGGCCTTCTTGGCCACCTGAGCACTCTGCTGGCTCATATTCAGCCGACTGTCCACCATCACTCCCAGGTCCTTCTCTGCCTGGCAGCTCTCCAACCACTCATCCCCCAGCCTGTAGCTCTGCTTGGGGTTATTGCGCCCCAGGTGCAGGACCCGGCACTTGGCCTTGTTGAACTTCATGCAGTTGACCTCAGCCCATCGGTGCAGCCTATCCAGATCCTCCTGCAGAGCCTTCCTACCCTCGAGCAGATCGACACATGCGCATAGCTTGGTGTCATCTGCAAACTTACTGAGGGTGCACTCAATGCCCTCGTCCAGATCATTGATGAAGATATTAAAGAGGACCGGCCCCAGCACCGAGCCCTGGGGAACGCCACTAGTGACTGGCCTCCAACTGGACTTGACTCCATTTACTCTTTGGGCCCGGCTATCCAGCCAGTTTCTAACCCAACGAAGCGTGCACCAGTCCAAGCCAAGAGCAGCCAGTTTCTTGAGGAGAATGCTGTGGGAGATGGTGTCAAAAGCCTTGCTGAAGTCAAGGTAGACCACATCCACAGCCTTTCCCTCGTCCACCCAGCGCGTCACTTTGTCATAGAAGGAGATCAGGTTCATCAAGCAGGATCTGCCTTTCATAAACCCATGCTGACTGGGCCTGATCGCCTGCTTGCCCTGCAAGTGCCGCATGATGACTCTCAAGAGGATCTGCTCCATGAGCTTCCCTGGTACTGAGGTCAAACTGACAGGCCTGTAGTTTCCCGGGTCTGCCCTCCGGCCCTTCTTGTAGATGGGCGTCACATTTGCTAGCCGCCAGTCAACTGGGACCTCCCCCGATAGCCAGGACTGCTGATAAATGATGGATAGGGGCTTGGCCAGCTCCTCTGCCAGTTCTCTCAGTACCCTTGGGTGGATCCCATCCGGCCCCATCGACTTGTGCATATCCAAGTGCCGTAGCAGGTCATCAACCAGTTCTTCGTGGATAATGAGAGCCACATCCTGCTCCTAATCCCCTTCCACCAGCTCAGGGTGCTGGGTATCCAGAGGACAACTGGTATTGCCGCTAAAGACTGAGGCAAAGAAGGCATTAAGCACCTCCACCTTTTCCTCATCTCTTGTAACTAAGTTTCCCCGCATCCAGTAAAGGATGGAGATTCTCCTTAGTCCTCCTTTTTGTGTTGATGTATTTATAAAAACGTTTTTTGTTATCTTTAACGGCAGTAGCCAGATTGAGCTCCAGATGAGCTTTGGCCTTTATAATTTTGTCCCTGCACAGCCTCGTGACATCCTTATAGTCCTCCCTAGTGGCCTGCCCACTTTTCCAAAGATTATAAACCCTCTTTTTTCTCCTAAGCTCAAGCCACAATTCTCTGTTGAGCCAGGCTGGTCTTCTTCCCCGCCAGCTCGTCTTTGGGCATGTGGGGACAGACCGTTTCTGTGCCATTCAGATTTCCCTCTTGAAGAGCGCCCAGCCTTCCTGGACCCCTCTGCCCTTCAGAACTGCCTCCCAAGGGACTCCACCAACTAGTGTCCTGAGCAGCTCAAAGTCAGCCCTCCGAACGTCCAATACAGTGGTTTTACTGGTCCCCTTCCTGGCCTCGCCAAGAATAGTGAACTCCACCATTTCGTGGTCACTCTGCCCAAGACAGCTCCCGACAGCCTAGAGAGATTCAACTCCCTGCTCACCCCCAGGGACCAAAATGGTAAGCTTTTTGTCCATGCAAAATGAATGTAAATTTTATCCAGATCCCGAACACGGAATGACCATGCACTTTACTGAAATGTTATTTCTTTTTATAACTATGTTACAGCTTAAGGGAGAAGAAAAAGAAGGAACCCAATGCTGTCGCTTTGGAAGGCTTTTATTGTAATCAACCTTACAACGTGTTTTGTTATACAATACATAGAAGGTTTAATCTCTCTTGCCTAGCACATTCCCTCCAGGGCTTTACTGCTTACAAAGGGAGCTTTCACTTTGACTGTGGCAAAAATAGCATCAAACTCCATTGTGCGGCTTTGCTTTTAGTCTGGATTAGTTTGAGAAGTTCTGAAGAATCAATGACTTTGAGAGATATGTGAAATAAACAGGATCACTTCTGAAGAGAGATCATATATTTCCTATACTTTTTGCTTCCCACGAATACAACTCTCTAAAATGCTGCAAATTCTTGCACAGTTATGGTCTGAGTGATTAAAAAAATGATGAGCTAAGAATTCCGTAACGCTTGTTCTTTATAAATTTTCCTCAAACACTCTGTGTGTGCAGGATGTGCAGTCTCCAGGCATTCCCCAGGACACGTATGACAGGAGGCAAACCCAGGTCTTGGAGAAATGCCACTGCACTGGCAATCTGAACTGCTGAGCTCCGTTTGCAGAACTGAGACTTCAGCTTTTTCTTCTGTGGGTTTTCTTTTTTTTTTTTTTTTTTTTTTTCTTTCATGTTGGTTTAAAGGGAAGAAAAGCAGTTTGTACATAATGAGCTTTGGCCTGAATATTTTCTAAGGTTCAGGCCAAATACAAGCTCTGAGTCCTGGAAAAGGTTGTTAGAGAGTTACAATGTGAGAAATCCCACTGTACTTCCTTGCGATTGAAAGAAGCAAACAGCAAACAGAAGCATCTCTTTTGATGAAATGAGCACAGAGTGAAACATCACATAGTCAGCACTGTGTATGTCCTGCACCAGGAACCTCCTCTGCCATAGAAGTCCCATGAAACAGAATAAATTTGTCATATCCTCATGGTATCAACAGTTTCCAGACTAAAGAGGGCTTTTCAGGTAAACATCCAGAATCTGTTTGTATCCGACTGAAGCTGTACAAAGTTAGGCTTGTGTCTGCAGATTCTGCCAAGAAGTGCCATGTAAAGGGGTGTGATAAATAGAAAAGTAAAGATGTAAGTCATGCTGACAGCCATCTGCCCACCATGAAGATGTATTCTTGGACTTAATGCCTTCATTCTGCCAGAGGCCTTGATGACAACAGTGCTTTGTTTAGGGTGTGGCTTTCACAGATATATTTCTTCTCCTTGTATAAGAATTATGGGACTTTCTTTATGTATTGCTAAGGAAGAAATATTCAGTTTATAAGTGGATTTAGCTGCTGCATTAACAGTACTTCGCATAAAAAGCATCCAGAATAATTTCCCAGAGCTTCCAGAACTTCATTTTAGTAGCAACTAGAAACCAATACAAATTGTGTACTTCTTTTGCTAGATATATTTAGGAATTGATGAAATATAAAATGAGATTAAAGGGCCACAGTATCTCTGCAGCTTTCTCAGCTGTATCTTGTGCAGCTCCATCCGTGGACCCACCTCCAGTACAAGGTGATGAGCCTTGCATCCTGAGTCAACGAGGCTGTGTTTAGTGATGGGTTAGGAAAACAGATCTATTTGTTCCAAACAGAATGGAAGTGAAAATATATTAGTCAAATAACAGCAATGATGCAGAAACGTTTCCACAAATTTTACTAAAAATAGGTGAGGGCTACAAGGAGCCCAAAGAGTTACATGTCTGTTTCTACTGCTTTTCAGTTTAACATCTGAGTGTCATAGCCCCTGTGGTGCCCCTAAATGGCCAAACCGAGGTTGCCCTGCTGTCACCACCAGGCTGGATGGCAGTTGTTTGTTGTGCACAGAGTAACTCCCAGTGTGGTTGGTGGGGAGGATCCTAGCAGGTCCTGGGAATGGAGTGTCATTTGCACCAAGGCTTCCTGAAGGTCAGGGTGAGGCTGTGCCACTTGTCTTCCTCATGCAGGCGAGTCCTGTGCTATGAAAAACAAATAACTAAAGTGAACTCGGTAACTGACAATCCAGTGGCTGAAATGTTTTGGCATACGCTATTCAGGAAACATTTCTGTATGTTTAACATACAGGATGTCAAAACCAAGCGTGCAATTTTCTAGTATATGAATGAAAAAAAAAAAAATAGGTCATGAAATAGGTCAAGAACAAATCCCCGGTGCTGGTTAGTTTCTCATTCAAGTATTTTGATCAGTCCTGATTGAGACTCCTACATATTAAAGAAGTATGGATAAGTAGTGGATGTAGGATAAACTGTGGGATAAGCTCTTGCTTCTCTAATGGGAAAGAGAGGTACAAAACCAGTAGTCACTGCAGTTCCTCCCAGCCATCTCTGTACGCATATGTGCTTCTCCCTGCTCTCTATAGGTGCCAGGTAGCAAGTAATCCACCTTGCAGAAGGTTTTGTGGGGCTGGAGGGCTTTCTGGTCTGCTAGAGATATTTCTTAGTCTTGTGTTAGATATAAATGCAGAAGACAGGTTATGTGTATGCTGCTGCTCTGTTTCTAACCTTCCAGATGATAGCTAATTACTCATAAACATGTCCTACAAACACTCCAGGGATCCATCTGCACACATCTGACTCAGAGGAGATGGTTCAGGATGACTCCAGAAAAGACTAGTGCTGTGTGAAAAAGGTTGAAACTAGGGGACACTTCGTAATTAGTTTTTTAATTCTCTGACAGGAAATTAATAATGCAATGATAATAAGGTTATTGATACTATGACAGTTCCTTGGGAAACCAAACTGTTGTAGAGCCACAGAAAAGCAAGGAGCTGACCAAGTGAGGGCAGCCAGTCCAACTTTCTGCTCCAAGATAGCATCACCTATGGCCACAGCAGGCCTGGCATGTTTGTCTGATCTAGTAAAATATCCACATGCCCCACGCCCCCCAGTTACCTATCCCAGGGCTTCACTATCTTTTTTTTTTTTTTTTTTTTTTTTACTGAAAAGGGTATTTTTTGTCCAATACCCAACCTCAGTCTGCTTTGTTATAACTGAAGTCCACCATTTTCTGCCCTGTCTCCTGAAGCAATGGTGCCCATGCTAATTACTGTTGAAATTAAACTCAGCTCTCTCCTGTGGCAGCCTCTTCAGCAGATGGGCTAACCTGGCAAAGCCTGCACAGAGCACAGCGAGAAAGAGTGGTGAAGGGAGATGCTTAAGGTGAGTGGAGGCGGGAGTAGAGAGCACATGATCTTTTTTTTTTGACAGACTGGAGACGATCAGAGAAAAAAAAAATGACCCCCCAAATCATCCAGGATAAGTCAGGACACTGAAATCAACAGTGAGACTTTCAATTAATTCAGCGCAAAGAGCCTTTTGCACTGACCACCATTTCTCTGCTGCTTATGCTAACAATTTTCTGGAGCAGAAAAACTCCATGGCTGAAGAAAAGCACATAGGTGGGCAGTAAGATGGGATAAAGATGGGAGCCAGCAAAGGAAAAAGAAGAACCATCTCATGCAGGACTGGGAAGTGGAATAAACAGTTTATTTTTACAAGCTGGAAATGAACATATAACTCTAGGGATGAGAAAGAAAGCAGTGACTAACAACATTTAAAGCTCAGCATATTCCATTAATATTTAATAATTAAAATATATAAATAAATAAGAAGAAGCAATGAAAGCAGATGGGAATAGCACAACCATAGTACCTCAGAGTTTTATTTAACCACAGGAGAAGTATTTTGAGAAGCAGAGAAGACATCACGGTTGTATGCGTTCTGCTTTCTGAGTGTTTCACCATAACAGGAGATGTGATCCCATAATCTGCTGCAGAAGTGCTGGTCACTTTGTGCTGCCAGTAAGATGCAAAATGAGAGCTGCTCTGTGCTCTCTCATGGACACTTATTTTCTTTGCAGTTTTGGCCAATCCACACCAACAGTCAATTGGGCTGGAGTTTTCTTTGTCCCTCAGGATGGAAAAATTGGACTGACTCCTCTGACAAGGAAGAGAGCCAGGTATTAATTATCATAAGGTGGATTTTACTGTCTGCCTCAGCTCTTTTTCTTCATTTTTCAGCTCTCACTAAGACCCTGAATCTGTTGCTGGTTATCCCTCTCCATGGAATAACACATCATTCAACATCATTAAATATGGCCAAAAAGACTCTTAACATTAAAAACAGACAGGAAAAAGTAAACATTCACTGGAGAAAACATTTCTTCATTTGTTTTTTATGATCTGCAACAGAAAATTTTGCAATGAATGCAGTTATTTGTCTCTTGTAATAGTTCTGATAGCGTTCATTGCTCTCCTTGCATTGCACTTTTCCATTACAGTGAAATCAGCAGTATTATCATTGAAGCAGGACCAGACTTTCTGCAGGAGTCAAGTATCATATTTACACTGATTTTAGTACATGTAGTGTAGTGACTTGATCCCACAGTCGTAATTGTAGGAATATTTTTCCTGCAATGAGACAAGAGCTAATGATGGACACTGAATGCTGGGGAGTGGCAGCCAGCAGTGTGCAGATTGTCACCAAGGTGCACAAAGCAGCTGTGGTTACAAGAGAAGATGGGCACTGAGATGGTATAGGCATGAGACGAGGGAAGGTGGGTGCAAAGCTATTGGCAGCAGATACTGGCACTGGGCTCTAGATTAGAAACTTAAAGAATAATTTGGCTGTTCCCATTCCTTTGCCAAGAAATGTTTCTTTTGTGGATTATTTTTTTTTTAATCGAGACATGGAAGAAGCTCAAAGGAGGACACAACACTCTGAGAAAATAGCCTGACTCAAGCCTTTCCCCACAAACTGGACCCCAGCAATAAATGCTTTCTGCAAGGTCAGAAGCAGAGCAGCAAGCACTGATGTAGTTGCGTCACTCTGGACCCTCTGAAGGTCTCCATGACATTGAGCCTTTGGAAGCTGGCTCTCCTGATAAGCAGAGGCAGCAAGCTGTGCTACTGCACCCTCTGCCAGCCACACTCAGGTGATGGCAATTGAAAGTGGGCATCCAAAAAATAAAGTCGCGCTTGCTCTTCATATTCATACTGTCATTGCTGTAATGGCAAGACTCCCTAATCTTCCTCCTAGTGGATTTCTCTGCTGCTTTGCATTTAAATTCACCTTGCCTTCGTAAAAGAAGTCGAACTGTAAGCAATAAATGAGCCAGGCAAAAACAAACATGCTGTTTTTATTTCTGTGTATTCCCAAGGAAAGCATGGTTCTATATACCTTTGAGAGATCTAGCCCACTCTGCCCATACTAAATAGCTCTTTAAAAACAAATGGATATTATTGTATCAACCACCTATTTCTCAGCCTGAGAAATGTTAGGCAAATGCCACTTTTCCATAAACATTTGATTCAGGTAACAATTCTGAAAATAAAGTAAGTTGAAATGTTCCCTAACAGACCAGGCTGCAGTGTTCAGCTGCCCTATACTAATTACTGTCTCTTTGACATGCTTCTTGCTCTCCTTATTAGTGGGATGAAATCTTCTATGGGGTAACAACCACCTTGTTCCAGTGAGCAAGTCTACCTACAAGACCAAAAGCCAAGTTATTTGTCCTTGCAGAAGGATCTTTGAAATTATAGTGCTTGGCACTGGTCTGTGGTGGATAAATCACAAAAACAGTTCTGTCCCATAGCACAGACATCCAGCCACGCATCAGTGAGGACATGGCGATCTTCGCTACAGGAAAGCCGAGGGAGCAGAGTTTATCTTGGTGGTGATTCTGCTACGGGAAAAAAGTGACAACAAATTGACTTGAATACTGAAGATACTGCAATTAGATTTACTGCCTAGTTAAATATTTCCTAATAGTTTCCTCAGCAGAATCATAGTTTGGTTGGACTTGAAATTGAGCATTACTTTGCTACTAGAACTTGATGGTTTTCTTACTCTGCACAAAGGAAAAAGAAAGCTTTAGGAAACAATTGCCTTCTTCATCTGCATGGCAGCCACAAACATTCTTCTCACTTCAGCAAATCCCCATGGAGATTACAAACTACCCAGACTAAAAGAAATGTTTTCCTTCCCTCTGGTAGGAGCCATGCAACAGCCCGTTTCATCAGGAACAAGGCACACTTGACTAATGGACAATAATCACACCTGGCTTCCCACCCCAGCTGTCCCATACTCTCAATCACACCTGCACCCAAAACAGTCCAAGGGCCATCTTCACCTACTCCATCAACTGGTGAAATGTAAAACCTGTCATCCCAGCACAACTGGAGAAGACTGTAAACAGGATCAGAGGAGGCTCCACAGAATTGCTAACAAGAGCTAAACCCCCTTTTTCTCCCAGTTAGCCCATTCCTCCAGAGGGACATATTGCGTTAGTGCCAGTTACCTCTGGGAGCTCAACTTGAGGCAGCACAACAACCCCTGATACTTATTTCTGGCCAGGCTGGAGAACAACTTACTGCCTGGCAGGGTCTTTTTGCAGACTGTTTTTGTTCTCACAATCCATACGGAGAGGCCCACCACAGAAAGAAAAAAATCCATATTGACCAAGTGTTGTAGCAGTGACATTTACATATCACAATGTACGTTCCTGATGTATGTACTATGTAATAATGTGGTGTTTAAAATACTACTGTGAGGAAACTGTTGACTTTAATGGCAGGTGTTGTTAAGATAAAAGCTGACAAGAAATTGTAATAAGGACACTAGAGGGACCTGTACTTCTGGCAGGCAAAGATCAAACTGGCAGCATAGAAAATATCTGCTTTAAACTCCAAATATAAGTTGGTTTTAAACTCAGGCTGTGGATTGAAGTCAGACCTCTAAAACAGTGATTTCCTCATTGAATGACAGGCTCTTATGTGGAAGCATTTATTGTAAAAAGCAAAAGATATTTGTATGCAAATTAGCAAGTGTAATATTGCTTGAATTACAGCTGTAAGAGAATGTCCTTGTTTTCTATCACCTGCTTAATCAATGCTGATTCAACCAAGATATGAATTAGCATTGGTCCCAGAAATCCTCCCAGCTGTAGCATGCAGACCTGGAAAGCACATCTTCTGCAATCTGATGTGCAAAGACCACCACCTTCTCCCCAACACCTCTGGGGCTCCTTTCACAAAGCCCCATGGAGCCTAGATGAAAAATCTCTTTTCAGAAAATGGCAGACAGGCTAATAACCTGCAGGGCATTTATTTGCAGAAGAAAAGTCATAGCTACAACAAAAAGACTGAAGAAAGAGGAGATGTATAGTAGAGATGTACTAAATGAGCAGAAACAGAGACAGTGTCCTCACCTTTCTGCTGATTTGCTCCAAGGCGACACTGAAGGGCAAGGTGTGAGCGAACTCCTTCTCCTTCCTGTCCCCAGAAACACACACCTGTTTCATAGGAGTTACACCACATGGGAGAAGGATTTATGAGAAATTTCATCTTCCTGACTCTTTGAATGATTAAAGATAATCCCTGAGCTGCCAAACTGGCTTTCTAAAGTGTTCACGTTGTTCAGGTAAGCCTGTTGTATTTCTGAGGCATTCCTTAGATGAGGCAGTATTTACTAGTGTATGCATTTTCAACTTCCTAGTCTGCTGTTATTTTGTGCAGACACCACTGTCTCACTGCAAGCTTCTACCTGAAAAATCTTCCTTAGCATCTGTCAGAATTGTGATAAGTCAGACTGGCACAGCAAAAATAATAATAATAATAATAATTTGGGGCAATTTATTTTCCACAGCTATATACTAGCAAATGCTTATTTCCATACCACTTACAGATATGTTCATATCTTTTTGTTCTAATATTGAGCAAAGAAAATTTTATTCACTTTCTTTCAATAAAAGCAATCCTTGGCTTGAATTTTTAGCTGTTCAGATAACACTAATGTAGCAAACATACTGGAGTTTCTTTCTGCACCATTGGGACTACGCAGACAGGCAAACTCTATTATAGCAACAGCCTCATCAAAGAAAAGCTAAATCTCTTCATTAAATCTTGGTGGTTGTTATTTTCAAGAAGAAAGGCTCTTTACTGCAAGCACATTTATGGAGAACTGTGCAAATGAGTTGTGAAGGATTGCCAAGGGAGGCTGGCTGGACCGCTGGGACAAGAGGAGAAGGCAATCTCTGGCAGTGCTGCACAAATAAGGTCCATGCCTATGAGCATTTGTACCACCGATCTGATGGGTACCTGATGCAGCTAGGACTGGCTGTGGATTAATGTTTATAACCATCAAGCCAATAGACGGCATTGGTACACAATCTGGTATACATTGGTATACAATCACTCCATCTTACCCACAAAAATAAATCAAAAACAGATGTTCCTTTTCCTCCTGCATATGGCCAACATCTGTTTGGACAACAAAGACTTTATTCAGGAGGACTTTGTTTGGCAAAGATATCTGCCAAAGATCACTTTTACTGAAAACTGCCCAAAATCTTAATGACTAGATTAAAACTAAACCAGTGGGGGGGACATTCCAATGGGAGCAACATTGAACCAGAATTCTGTGAATTCAATTTTAATTATTCTTTGCAACCTTAAGCAAGTTATTTAAGCCTGGATTCAGCAGAGCATCTAACCACCTAAAGAACACATGCAAATCCTACAAGATTTGAAGTGCAGTGCTGAAATAGAGCCCTCATTGCTCTCTACACCTCTCACTGTTTTGGCATCTGTTAAAATGAAGGTAGAATTAGTCCTGTCTTCTTGACACCTTACCTGCTTCTGGAGGAAGGGAAAAGGGCAAAAGGGGAAAAAAAAAAAAAAAAAAAAAAAAAAAAAGGAGAAATTGTGAAGGGGGAGAAGGTACAAGAAGAAAAAACATACCTCAAGAATAATTATGCCTATTTTTATACATATATTAGAATATTATCTTGCAATTCAATTCATATGAAATGAGTTTAAAAGTTTCCAGTGATTATGTTTAAAGTATATAGAAATCTTCCAAATGATCAGTAAAATGTTGACTGGAATCTAAAGATGTTTATGTTATATTAAACTAGATATTAAAATTGCTTTTTTTGGTACTTCAAGTGCAAGAAACTGTCTAGTGCTTTTCCTGGCACCCTTAAGAAATGTTAATAAGACTTTTTCTGACACATTTTAAACAGAAGACAGGCAGCATAAACAAAACTGCAGATTGATTTCGTTATACTGCTGGGATATTCAGCTGTGCTCCAGTTGATCAGAGAGACCTTTGTTTACATATTCTTCATAGATTTGTCCAACAAACTTTAAATGAATTCATACAAGGATCCTAAATTCAGTGTATTCAATGGAGAATGGAAGTCTAGTATATTATACTGAAGGCTTCCAAACTAAAAATAAATGCATAAATAATTATAATGTTGGCAACACTGTAGGCCTGTAGGCCAGATGTTTATTTCAATTCAGGTTGCATGAATCTAACTAGCTACCTTTATTGAAGGTACCAAATTCTGACATCTGGATCTGTGATCATTGCCTGGCCAGGCTGGAATGAACAACACAGCTGTAATGGGATGCAGAAATGTGTGCAGCATGACTCTCTATAACTTTCAGTACTTGGCAAAAAAAGGCAAACCTTGGATCAGTCAGGCCTTACGGAAAATTCAAATCAAATGAAGTTTTTGGTTTATTCTGAATCTTTTGAAATAAATAAATAAATAAAACTTAAGTCCCCGTCATATCTATACAGGTTCACTTGCTGTGATGTATGACAGAAGTACTCATCACTATCCCTTCAATTCTTAAAATAAGTTACTAAGAAAACATTAGCGTTTTTACAAAATACATATATATCGGGTTGGTTGGTTTGGTTTGGTTTGCTTTTGCTGGGAGCAGACTGGATTGACTACAAAGAGAAAGGAAAGTGGAAAATCTTAGAAGAAAAAAAAAAAGAGAGAGAGAGCAAGAGCATGCACCTAGGAAATCTTTGTTGATTGTTGCTAATATCTATGATAATTAACCTAAAAATACCCACAAAGCAATAAAATTTGTAGAGATGACTCTATTGTCTTAGGCAAATAATGAAGCAAGGAATGGTTAAATTGATCCCATGACTCTCATTGCAATAATAAAGCAGCAACAACTGTTAATCTATGGCACTCACTTTAGATTACAAACTTAACACTTAGCAATTTCGTTAGTGAGAACATAGCTGAGAGAGAAATGCTAGCAGGGAAAAAAAGTCATCGCCACTGATATTGAACCATCCTGAGAATTTCTTGCTGCTCTGTAACCAGGGGCACAGCTGGGGAACAGCTCTCCCAAATACAAGGTACACCTGTAGGAAGTCTTCAGAGTCCAGGCAATTCCTTATGTTTTACCCTGAAGACTAGGATACAGGATTAACCTGAAGGCTGTCAGGATACAACCAGCTGACCTAGCTCACCAGCTTGGAAGTTGCCTCAGGTAGCCAAGGTGCCTGTCACAATCTGAATGCAGGCAGCTGGAATTACTGGGAAGGGGCAGCTAGGAGGCAGCAAGGTCCATGCCCACACCTGCCCTTGGTCTGAGTCCACGGAACCACGCTGACAGTGCTGTCAGAGAGGCTCCAGATTCAAACACCTGAGACACTTGTGTACCCATGTGGATGGAAGGAGCCAAATGAGCAGATGGGGAACTTTTTTTTTCTCTTTTTATTCTTGTCCCCAAAACGAACATATTCTCCGAGAGCCAACCAACCCCCAAGCTCACCCACATAACCAGCTCTGCCTGGAAGAGAGAGTTCTCTTTTTAAATTAAATCCTTTCAGACACTCATACAAATCCATAGATATCACAGGGCCTGCAGAGCTGGAGCCAATGAACATCCATGGGGCGAAGCTGCAGATGAAGGGAAGAAGGCTTGTTCACAATCTCTGCTGGCAGCTGTATGGACCTTCTGGGAGTAAAAACTTTCTGTTCTCACTGAAGGTAGCGGGCAGGACTATAAATATCCCCATGGAATATATTTACAAAAGGATTGAGTGCCATACTAACAGCCATTTTTTTAATATAAGACCATATTTTAGAGGTAATAGCAGCTTCCTGTAAGAAAGTCAAAGAATGACATAGGAATTGAGGTGAGAAGGGACCTCTGAATAAATCTACTCTAGCCTTCTGCTCAAAGCAGAGCCAACTTCAGCCATAGGGCTGAAGGGTTGCTTAGGGCCATGGTCAGCTGAGTTCTGGAAAATTTCAAGGATGAAGAGAATCATAGAATATCCCGAGTTGGAAGGGACCTATAAGGATCATCAAGTCCAACTCCTACTGGAGTCTGCAACAAGACAGGTCTACCCAAAAGTTTAGACCTTGTGACTAAGTGCACAGTCCAATCTCTTTAATTCAGACAGGCTTGGTGCAGTGACTACATCCCTGGGGAGCCTGTTCCAGTGTGCAACCACCCTCTCGGTGAAGAACCTCTTCCTGATGTCCAGCCTAAACTTCCCCTGCCTCAGCTTAACACCGTTCCCGTGGGTCCTATCACTGGTGTTTTCAGAGAATAGGTCACCTGCCTCTCCACTCCCCCTCGCGAGGAAGTTGTAGACTGCAATTAGGTCCCCCCTCAGCCTCTTCTTCTCCATGCCGAACAGGCCCAGTGACCTCAGCCGCTCCTCATACGTCATCCCCTCTAGGCCCTTCACCATGTTTGTTGCCCTCCTCTGGACACTCTCCAACAGTTTCATGTCCTTATTGTACTCTGGTGCCCAGAACTGCACACAGTACTCGAGGTGGGGCCGCACCAGCATAGAGCAGAGCGGGACAATCACCACCCTCGACCGACTAGTGATGCCGAGCTTCATGCACCCCAGGACATGGTTGGCCCTCCTGGCTGCCAGGGCACACTGCTGGCTCATATTCAACTTGCTGTCAACCACAACCCCCAGATCCCTCTCTGCGGGGCTGCTCTTCAGCGTTTTGTTGCCCAGTCTGTACGTATAGCCAGGGTTGCCCTGTCCCAGGTGCAGGACCCGGCACTTGCCTTTGTTAAACTTCATGTGGTTGGTGATTGCCCAGCTCTCCAATCTGTCCACGTCTCTTTGCAAGGCCTTTCCACACTCAGCCGATTCCACAACTCCTCCAAGTTTGGTGTCATCAGCAAATTTGCTCAAAACACCTTCTAGTCCTGCATCCAAATCATTTATAAAGATATTAAAGAGGACTGGCCCTAAAATGGAGCCTTGAGGAACCCCATTAGTGACCATCTGCCAGCCAGATGGGGCCACATTTACCACAACCCTTTGAGCCCTGCCTGTCAGCCAATTGCTCACCCATCGTATGATGTTTTTGTTAAGTTGTACACTGGACATTTTGTCCAGTAGGATCCTATGGGAAACCGTGTCAGAAGCCTTGCTGAAGTCCAAAAAGATCACATCAGCTGATTTCCCTTGATTGACTAGATGGGTGATCTTATCATAAAAGGAAATCAGGTTAGTTAGGCAGGACCTACCCCTCATGAACCCACGTTATCTGGGACCAATGACTGCATTGTCCCCCAGGTGCACTTCAGTAACTTCAAGAATCGTCTTCTCCATAATTTTACCAGGCACTGACATGAGACTGACAGGCCCGTAATTGCTAGGGTCTTCTTTCTTACCCTTCTTGAAAATTAGGACAACATTTGCCAGCCTCCAGTCTACTGGGACCTCTCCAGATTCCCAAGATCATTGAAAAATAATTGAGAGAGGTCCCACGATGACATCAGCCAGCTCTTTAAGCACCCTGGGATGGATCCCATCTGGACCCATGGACTTGTATGGGTCCAGGTGGAGCAGCAAATCCCACACACGTTCAGGGTCGGTTGGGAGTTTGTCATTCCTACTGTCATGGTCCTCTAGTTCAGGGCACCCAGGGTCCCGAAGCCCATCATCGGCATTGAAGACAGAGGTGAAGAAGGCATTAAACATCTCTGCTTTGCCTATGTCATTGTCTGTGAGGAGACCTTCCCCATCAAGTAGCAAACCTAAGTTTTCTTTGGTTCTCCTTTTTCTGTTAACATATCTAAAAGAAACTTTTTTATTGTCTCTCACAGACATGGCCAGCTTCAACTCTAGTTGGGCTTTGGCCCCATGAATTTTCTCCCTACAAACACGAACAGCATCCCTGTATTCCTTCCTCGTTGCCTGACCCTCCTTCCAGCAGCCATATACTCTTTTTTTGCCTAAGCTCCAGTAGAAGATCCCTGGTCAGCCAAGCCAGCCTTCTACCCCGCCTGCCTGACTTCCGATATTTTGGAATTGCTCGATCTTGTGCTTTCAGGAGGCAGTGCTTAAAGACTGACCAGCACTGATGGATGCCAGTGCCTTCCAAAGCAGCTTCCCACGAGACCTTGCTGACTAGTACCCTGAGCAGCCTGAAGCCTGCTTTCCCCATGTCCAGGGCTGAAGTTTTGGTGGCAGTTTCCCTTCTGTCACCATAAATTCTAAACTCAACCACTTCATGGTCACTATTACCGAGACAGCTGCCAATTGCCACGTCTCCCACAAGACCCTCTCTGTTTTCCAGAGAGGCCACAGCCTTTCCAGGGAAACTGGTTCTGTGCTGCATAACCTTCATTCTGATTAACTTTTTTACTTGTTGTTTTACTTGTTGCAGTACATGACCACTGCCTTGTCATTTTGCAGCACGCTGCTGCAGAGTCTGACCCCTTAGCTTACCTTCCCCAGACTAAACAAACCCAAGACCCTTAGCTTCTCTTGATATACATGTGCTCCAGTCTCCTGAACATCTTATGGACCCTCTACTGGACTTGCTCCTACTTTTTGACCAATCGGTTGCACTGGAACGTATCGAAACTACAGTTTTCCAACTGAGTTGCATTCTCATAAGTGCTGAGTTGAGGGTAATGATTGGCCTGTTGGCTATGCTCATACAGCCCAATGCACAGTCAAGCTTCATCACCCTAAACACACGCTGCTCCTATTCAACTTGTGGTCCTCCGGGACCCTCCAGTCCTTTCTGCAGAGCTTTCCCCAGCCAGTAAGTCCCCAGTCCATATTGCTGATGCATCCCAAAGGCAGGACTTGCCATGATTGCTCTCTCCAAAAGTCATGAGGTTCCTGTTACCCCATTTCTCAAGCTTGTCTTTGTCTATCATTGAGAACAGATCCTAGAAACTTTGATAATATTTTCTGTACAACATTTGAAAAGGGAAAAAAAAAAAAAAAAAAACACTAACACCACCAAACAAACAAAAGGAGTAAATATCTCCCAAGATGCTTGCATATCTGTGCAAACTCCCAGGTGTCCCAGGTGTTATGCTATTTTGCACCATCACTCTACATTCTTTACAACACTACTAGAGGACAAGGAAAAAAAAAACAAATCCCAACTGGCATCGACAAAGGTTTTACTGGCTGCAGTGAAAATACTCCAGTCACGTAAGTGCAACAGCAGGAATCAGGATGTCAGCATTAGCACTGGGATGGAATTGTTTCAGCATGACTTTACTGAAAAGGAAGGAAGATTTAGTTGCCGCTCATGAGGTGGGGCTTGAAATCTATAACCAATATCCCTGATTGAAATTATGTTAGCAAAATTTGTGACACACTGGAATCCCATTTCACCAGATAAGAATATTTCTTTCAGCCATTCATTTTGCATTTCATGAGACACTTCTGCAGACATAGTGAGTTATTTCACTCTATTTCTGCTTATATAGCATCCTGAGATCTAGACATTTCAAAACTCAATGTATTGTGATAACTGTACAGACCATGTCAATGAAAGTCTACTTCTGCATGCTTAATAATTCATTTGTATCCAAATGGAAATATTCATTGCAGCATTTGCAAAGGCTGTTCTAAGCCATGTGATAGCTATTCACAAAATTTAACTTCCTGTGCCTAGACAATTTCTAGAATTCCTCCTGTACATGGGATCTCCTTCATTGCAGGAATTCAGTAAAACATTACTTTTCCATAAAGAAATGTCCATTTTTTTCCCCTCCCTTGTCACAATTTCATACGCATTTTACAAGTACACCATGGCTGTGCTCCTTTAATTTTGTTGTAATACTCAGGGAATAATTAGCTCTGTATCTTCTAATGAAGAACAAATGTATGTATTCAAAAATTAAATATTTACTTTCCTAAGTGCCATCATATGTTGTTCTGAGTGCTTGCCTACATTACGTGTGGAAAATTAAATGTACTCTGTATAATAATTCTGCTGGTATAATAAAGGATTATGCATGACAAGGGAAACATGACCCAGTTCACTAAGAAAAAAAAAAAAAAGAAACCACCACAGGCTTCTCATGAAATTTTAGTCCAAATTGCAACAACTACAGGTCAAATCAAATATAACAAATTAGGATTGCTTTCACTCTCCTGAGATACACTGATTCCACAGGAGGTACGATACTAACCCAAGAACTCTCTGCCACAGATGATTTTCGTGATCTTCTTAAGAAATCAAAACACTCAGGTTCAAGGACTGTTGTGGCCTGTGAACCCAACTATTGTGATACTGGGGTGGCTCAGCCTCCCTTCTCCAGGTCTAAGACGTATTTCTTCATCTGTACACACGACCAGGAGTTGTAAGAGGTGAGGCAGATGTGGAGCATTGTGTCAAAGAGAGGGAAACACAAAACATGGGAATGGAAGAAGTGGGCTTGAGAAAGGGAAACAAATGCATTGGTTTGGAAAGATGATGGGAGAAAGAGACCTCAAAAATATAGTAAATATGATCTTAGTGACCAAATATTTAAGACCAGCATGGTGGTCTAGCCATCACTTCTTAAATACAAGTGAAAGAATCAATAATTTAGGTAACTGAACTTAATATTGTCACTTGCTAACTTACAAACGTGAACAAATCATCATTCACACGACAGGGCAGCAGACAGAGGATGCTGCTGTGTTCCTTCACTTCCCTGCACAGCATTGTTGCCTCTCCAAACCTCTTCCATGGTTGTCCTACACCTTGCACTGTCCCTCCTGGGAGGACTCATACCACCTTCTAATCCTAGCTCTTCTCCTTCTACAAGCAGACTATTTTATAGTATGTTTGGCTGTCTTGAGTACAGTTTTCAAAATAACTTAAGATACTCGGGAGCCATTTTCCAAAATAACCTACAGTGAAACCTACAAAATTATGGAATTGTGAAAAACAAAACAAACAAACAAAAAAAAGCATAGAGGTTTGTAGAGGTTTGTCTGTTGTTTTTTTATTACTATTACTATTGTTGTTATTGTCATTGTTTTTGTTTTTAACAGGCAAGGCACTAGCCTCTTGGTGAAACACCACAACTTGGGTCAGCCACCCACCTCAGTACTCACTGTCCCCTAGGCACTAAGAAGCTTCAGTCTGAACCATTCTCAGACAAACTTGGGTTTGTAAATAATTTTGGCAGTTTTGAAAATCAGTCAGTTTAATTAGACATAATATGAGAGAACTAAACTATGATAAAAAAAAAATGTCATGGACAGAGATTTGGCCAACAGAAACTCTCCTAGCTCCACTACAGTTATAGGAACTATGATAATTTACACCCATTGAAAACCTTCACCACCATTTATGAAGACAATACGAGTTTGTGACCTGAGTCAGTGCCTAACTGTATAATCAAGCACAAAAGGCCCAATCCATTCTGGAACAGAGTCACAGAATCATAAAATATTCTGAGTAGGAAGGGATCCACATGGATCATTGAGTCTAACTCTCTGTGCACCATCATTTTCTTACACTGCCACAGACGCTGTCAGAGCAGCATTAATTGGTGTGAAGATAAACGCAAATCATATTTAACAAAAGAATGCACTCACAGGGGGAGAACAACAGTGAGGCCATATGCATTATGATAGAGTCCTCGATGATGTATGCAGCAACAGTATTACTTTGATTTAAAGCTCAAGGCCAGCTCCTGAGCTTCATGGGAGGACAGGCTACATTCACGCATCTGCTGTTTATTTGGCTCCCCCTCAATAAAACACCTACCTGCTTGTACAAACACACAGACACAAATCACAACCATTGTCTTACCTCATACAGCACCTCAGTGATCTGTCACCACCCCAAGCTGGATGCACTCACAAGTCAATAAATGAATTAAATCAGAAGAACAGCTGTAGTTTCCCCTGATAGCAGCTGACCTTGCTTTCTGAGAGCACGTCTGCATGGGGAGCACCATCAGGCAGAGCAGCATCAATCACAGATAGTCTGAGTGGCTCCCTTTAGAGCATGAGGTACAGAGTGGCCAGCTGGAGCCTGATGATAATCAAAGGCCAACCCAGAGATCACAAAGGAGACCAGAGCTATTTACCACTAGAGAGACTTAGGCACAGAGCAATGTGGAAATTGCCAAGCAGCAGCTGAACCCATCTACCTAAAAAGTTCTATAAGAATGAAATTCCTTTCCCAAATTTAATGGGAGCTGGTGCAAGCATATTCTTTGCTTTTCTTGGCTTATGCTAACCCAAATGTTGTTTTTAGATCCAATAATAATGCCTTCTGGGCCTTGATGGTATTACACTGGAGAATAGAGCTTGACTCAACAGAGGGAAGTGTCCTGAATGCAGCTGCATCACTTCAGCTGGCGTGCAATGGGCAGCAGCACAGCCCAACCCAGATTCCTGCCCAGGGTATCCTACCATCAGGTGAAGGAATTTCATAAACCACCTTTAACCATGTGGGACTGGGCTTTACGCCCAACTTTTCAGACAACAAATGTGTTTCTAGACATGATCACAATCCTGAAACACAGAGCTGTCTGGGAATCTCACCTTGACAATCCATGGCAAGATAACAAGGGCTGCATGGTGGCTCTGTGCAGTACGCACAGGGAGCCCTTTCCAGGGAACAGATGCACTGCCAGGTTTTGTTCCTTGGACAGGCACTTGTGAACACTTTTCCAGCACTATGACATCTGCCTGTCTTGCAGATGTGAGATGCCCTGGGTCCTCCTTATCTTCCACTGCCCAAGTATGGATTTGGTGTTTTAATGCCAAAAAGAGAGCACACGCAGTCTCTTTAATCTCAACTGGTCCAGTCTAGCTCACACCTAGGAGCTGGCCATTCCTCATATGCACTGCCTGTGCTCAGCTAACTCATAAAAATAAACCTGGCAGGGTTTGTGCCCTTGTCACTTTGGGCTTGAACAGATACAAACCTGAAACCACAAGATAAACAGTGCTGAGCAGTTGTTCTCCCTCTTTCAGACTGAATAGATAACAAGTATTTTTGGCTGGTATGCTTACTGCTGCACTGTAGATACTTTCAAACAGCCATTCTGGCCTGCACCCTTTACCAGGCAGTTTGTTCCTGCCACTTGGTCCTACAGAGTAGATCTGTCTTGAAGGGATCGAGCTGTTCCCTCTCTTTCTCATACATCATCTCTGGAAGCATCATGACTATACCAGAACATTTCTATTATCTAGCTGTCAGTGATAAAATGAAGAACAGAAAGAATATGGTATGTTCTCTAAATTGGTTTTTACTGAAAGGGTAAGGAACGGTTTGAATAGTGTGCTGAACAGCATGGTACATTTTCCACATCAGGATACCTTTTTTTATCAAAAGGCTTTCATTTAAGGAAGAAGCAGAATGATAGCACCAGATGTGAGAGCCTTCATTTATTCACAAAATAACTATAATAAAACTAGATATAGGATTACCTTCAAAATACAGCATGTATTAATTTCCCCATAACCAAATACTGCCACAATCAGCCCACTGATTATGGCTGGACTATTTCTTCACTAGCAGTTTCACCGTCATCTTAGAAGCACCACCATCACTCTTAAATTCCTTTTCAGTGAACAGCTATAATTGTGTGACACGTGTTTGTGCATTGTCTTCACCTCTGCCTGCTGCCTTAAGACTGCAAACTGAAGTGGGCTGTGCTGCCATTGTGAACACAGATATCCCAATTCCTCTTGGATATCAGCACCACTTCAACCATTACGTACAGCTGGACATGTGCACGTGTGGATTATCCAATGTTTGTACAACACTTGCATGTCAGGTAAACTGTTCAAATGAATTAGAGTGATAACTAGCAGACAGCTGAATTTCTTTAGGAAGCCGTGAATATTCTACTAGCACCAAGTGTCATAGTGAGCTAGAGACTGTGATGACACCCAGCTGGGGTAACTTTCCTCTCAGACTGGCTTTGCCCTAGAAATACCTTCACATCTCAGGAGCTGGCCTTTGGAAACACATGATGACGATACATATCCCAGGCATACAGAGGGATTTAAACAACTCATTCGGGAATGGGCTCTGATGAAACATTGCATCTCAGTGTGCATATGCCCTAAGGGAATACTAAGGAGGAGTTAAGATTTAATCTGTTGGGAAGACAATATGTGGCATATGCTTAAGATGAGCAGTGGAATTGCTGAGTGAAAAAGCATATGATCTTAAAATAAATGTGGTTCACCAAAAAAAGTATTCAAACTCAGCTTCATGTAACGTGAACTGCTCGTATCACGTAATCTACAACTGTTAGAGGCTACTATGATAAAAAGGGATTCAGCACCTCTAAACATTAATGTGATTTTGTAAAAATCTTACTATCAGTGAGCTTGTAGTAACTACTCATGATATCTCATGAGTGCAGCTATCACATTTACTATCACTAGCTGAGCTTTTCCAATTGAGGGCCATATTTATTTTTTTTTCTGTGATATATCCCTCTCCAATGAGTGAAGAATGAGTGACAACTGAAAATCCAAGAGAGAAAAGGAAAAGGGTTATCACGTCAGCTTCATTCTTCAGTCAGAATTTCACGTTTCTGTATATACCAAGTTACAGGCTACAAGAGCCTTATCCCACACCTCTGATGGATTTCTCAGGGGACCAGCAGCCACCTTGCTTTTGTGTTACCCATCAGCCATGGATGAACCTATACCTCTTCCTTTAGGGTGGAAAGAAGTTTAGTGCTGTAATGATAATAGTATGTTCCTAGGTTGGCATAAGAGATAGTCAGTGCATTACATCCTAGAGATTTTTAGCAATTTAAGAAATCCTCCTGTTCTTTTCAAGGCTGCTTTAAAATGCCTGTAAAATAAGCCGAGTTACTTAAAGTACCCTGGTGCTTAAACTTGCAGCTGAACTTTCCAAAATAGATTTTATTTCCCTTCAGAGTCAGACACTTAGCACAGTTATTTTATGGTTATTCAACTTCCCCCATTCTTATTCTGGTTCATCAACTATTTCTGGTCAAGTTTCCAGACCAATTCCATAAACATTTACTCTTTCTTTAGTGAACAGGACTAGAAACAACCAAGTAAGAACCACTCTCTCAGATGAAATTTTGTAAACTCTAGACAGGACAAGATGCAAGTAGACAAATTAGGTCAGTTTCCATTGTGCATTTTTTTCCTCAAGTTTTGAAACCAATAAATAATGTTTTTCCAGCTTGCTCTGAGAATTTTCTGCATTGACCTCCCCCCTTGTTCCTTCTGAAAAATGTGGTGACAAAGTAGAAAGAGAAAAGAATATTTCCATTCTCTTCTGGCATCTCTTCCTTGGCCTCCAATGTGCTATTTCCAGCAGGATGTGTCCAATCTGCCATGCCCACATGGAGGCCTGGCAAGGATTTCCTTCCTGCATCTCACTTTGGGGACTTATCCTAATTCAAAGTGCAAATAGACATCAGTATTTCCTTCAGACCAAGATGCCATTGCCTGATCACTACCTTGGATCTAATTACCTCTGAACCTTGAGAAAACTTCATTTTCTTCTTAGCTCTGTGACATAAATGCACCACTTCACCTCAGACCACTATGACTTTTTAAGCAATTTTAAATGTTATGTTGCCATATTCCAATTTCTTTTGCCATTGCCCTCATTCTCATTCAAACTCTCTCTTCTGGCTAATTAGTTGGCCCCTTCTTTTCCCATCCAATACTTCCACACATCTTCAGAGGCCAGAAGAAGGCCATAACTCCTGGAAAGTTATATTGATTTCTCTTGGAAATCACCCAGTGGTTTTGAAATCTGCATAACAACAAGAAAAGCAAGCAGACCCGTAATCTGTACCTGGAGGTCTACCAAACCCCCTGAGGTTGGGGAGGGTACAAACTTCAGTGGAAGCTTTCCCATTCCCCGGGGCACTGACAGATCCCACAGGAATCCTCCAGGGTCAAATGAGAATTCCATGCTGTCTTTGCTTCACCTTAGGCAGAAGGAGGGATTTTATTGTCCATCTATTGTTGTGAATCTTACAGGAGCCATATCTTTAATCCTCTAACCCTCTATTAAATATTTCTAAAATTGACTGACAGTTTCAGAAACTATTAGGAGGGATGGACAGACACTCAGACCCTGACAAACAGCCCATGATTAGACAAGGTCCTTTCCATTAGAAAATACAGATAAAATGTCAAAGTTTTGCCTACCTCTGCAAACCTAAAGCAGTTGTGGAATTTCACCCCTTTTTCCTTAAAAATTAGCAAGCCAGAGCAGAGCCTGAGCTGTTTTCTAAAAGTTTCTGTTTACTCTTTTTTCCCTCAAATAGATGTTTGCTTCCTTGCTACCCTGCGGTAATCTACCTCTGGCAAATAAAATGGTTTCTGATGATCTCACTGTGGGGCTAATTCTTGTTTTTGTAACAATCAGTACAGGAGCAGCAGAAGGAGTGTTCAGACAGCTTGTTCACAGCACAAACAGCTCAGGAGGAGAATGGAAAGGGAGAGGAGAGATGGAGGTAGACAGAGAGGAAACAGGTGAAAAGAGACAACTGAGAGCACAGAGGGAAAAGAGGGAGAGAAAAAGAGAAGCAGGCTTCTTGTTTCCCCTAGATGATCACAATTTGTCCAAAAGGATCTTGAAGCATATTATGCCAGCTCTCTTCTGACAAATACAGCACAGTACAGATGCAGGGATGCTAGACTCCTCTCCCACTGGAGACAGCAGCACTGCAGGCAGCTGCTCCTTGAAGGAGCCACAGGGCCATTCCTTCCAACAGCTGACAGAGGCTCTGTGATCAGAAAGGAGGCATTTCAAACCTGCAGCAAGTCCCACCTCACTTTGAGTTTTCAGCGAGCTTTCCAAAGTATCCAGCAGCAATACACAAAAACGCATTCCTCTAATCCATCGCAGAAGAAAGAGCACACAGCTTTCTGAGTGCCATGAGGGAGTCAAGGAGAAAGAAGGTTTGGAAGAAAGGGAAGTAGCTACTTTTCTGGCTTGGGTTTTCTCTCATGAAGTTTTACCTACAGCAAAACTGCAAATTTACAGTAATGTCTGAGAGACCCCTTGTGAGCTATTGAAACTTGTGAATTAAGCAGTAATTGGGAAAAGACAGTGAAAAGAAGGATTTGCACCATAAAGCATTCCTGCTCCATTTATTGGGATGGCTGTAGGTTTGGTTATTTAGGAGAACGCTTTGCAATATGCTGCCATATCTATGAGGGAATGCTTAGTGGAGAAAACAAACAAATGATAAAGTCCTAATAAAAGGAGATTTAATTTAAACAAAAATGTCAATATTATTGAATGAAGATACTGTCTATGAACAAATACCCAGCACAAACTGAATTGTGTTGGATTTTCCAAGCAGGTAGATTAATGAAATGAGTTGGGGGCTGTTGCCCAAATCCCCACACAGTCCTCCAGGCCCTGCAGCATTTACCTACATGACCGAGGTGGACAACATCACCCCTCCCCCCCCCAGAAGCCATTCTTGACCTTCTCCATCAGTATCTTTTAACCTTTCCAACCTGACAGCCTTTGAACTCTTGCAGTACAGACCTGGATGACTGGGGTCTAACAGTCAATGTACCAGCGGGCACTGGAGAAAACAGTTGAGCTCAGCTGATGTCAGCTCCACCATGGAAGCAATGGCAGGGGTGAGGCCTTCATTTGAGAGGAATCTGGACCAGCTGTGGTATTCTGGTATAGTTCATCCTGGGCAGAGTTACAGTACATGAGAGTTACGGTACATGAGAGTAGTCCACAGGGTAACAAACATGAGCTGTGGACACTGTCTCTGCTTCTGACAGACAGGTGCTGTTGAGGAGGCATGGTGCCAAGCGACTCAGAGAAGACAAAATCCTTTACCATAGCGCTAACAGACCCCAAAATCAGCAGAGATCTCATGAATACACACCAATAGATAGAGTTTGACCCATCAGCTCTCTGTTCTAGGAGCTCAGGGCTGCATGGAGCAGGCTGTACCCCCAGGTACATTTCAAAAATACTGAGTTTCCTGCCAAGTTTCAGATCCATTTTAAAAAACAGAAAGGTCGCCCTTTGCTTTGTCATTTATCTCTGCTTCCAGCTGTGACGCTGATACATGCTTAGTAATAAATGAGAAACAAGTACAAGATGATAAAAATATTTATCTCCTCCCTCCTTTTTTTTCTTTCTGTGGATTTGCTACA